CCCTGGGACACCCTGAGGACACCCTGGGACACCCTGGGACACGCTGGGGGCACCCTGGGACACCCTGGGACGCCCTGAGGACACCCTGGGACGCCCTGGGGACACCCTGGGACACCCTGGGGACACCCTGGGCCCTGCTCACGCCGCAGGTGTCAGATGATGAGTACACGAAGCTGCTGAGTGAGGGCATCCAGCCCGTGGCCACCATCGACCCCAACTTTGCCAGCTTCACCTACACCCCGCGCTCGCTGCCCGAGGATGACACCTCCATGGTGAGGACAGTGGGGCTGGCCCCAAACTGCAGCTGCACCCGTGAACATCTCCCTGCCTTTGGGAGGGCTCTGTTGGGCACTGTCACCCGCTGCCACCACTCTGTCCCCTCCACAGGCCATCCTGAGCATGCTGCAGGACATGAACTTCATCAACACCTACAAGATGGACCGTCAGACGCTCACCAGGTGGAGTCCCCATCCCTGTCCTCATCCCTGTCCTCATCCTTGTCCCCATCTTTATCCCCATCCCCATCATTGTCCCAATCGCCATTCCCATCACCATCCCTATCTCCATCTTCATCCCCATCCCCATCTCCATCCCTGTCCCCATCCCCATCTCCTTCCCCATCCCCATCCTCATCCTTACCCTTGTACCCATCCCTACTATCCTCATCCCAACCCCATCTCCATCTCCATCCCTGTCCCCACCCTTATCCTTGTCCCCATCTCCATCCCCATCCCCATCCTGCCAGGGGCCACCCGGCCAAGTGAAGGTCCCCACATGGACAAAGACCCCCCAACCCATGGCCCTGTCCCCCTCCCCAGGTTCTGCCTGATGGTGAAGAAGGGCTACCGGGACCCCCCGTACCACAACTGGATGCACGCCTTCTCTGTCTCCCACTTCTGCTACCTGCTCTACAAGAACCTGGAGCTCGTCAACTACCTGGAGTAAGGCTGGAGACCGCCCCGTGCCCTGTCCCACCGGGGTGCTCCCTGCCCCCCCCGCCTCAGTTTCCCTCCTTCCCCCACCTCAGAGACATCGAGATCTTTGCCCTCTTCATCTCCTGCATGTGCCATGACCTGGACCACAGAGGCACCAATAACTCCTTCCAGGTGGCCTCGGTGAGCTGAGCCCGGCGCTGGGACGCACAGGGGTTGTGGGGACAGGGGTGGGGACAGGGCCCGGGTGGTCCTTCAGCCCCGTAACTCCATGAATCCCACCTCTTTGCCTTGCAGAAATCAGTCCTGGCTGCGCTGTACAGCTCAGAGGGCTCCGTCATGGAGGTAAGGTCCACCCTGGCCACGGTGGTGGGGCAGGACCCCTGCCTGCACCCTGCCTGCTCCATGGCCCTGTCTTCTCCTGCAGAGGCATCACTTTGCCCAAGCCATCGCCATCCTCAACAGCCAAGGCTGCAACATCTTTGACCACTTCTCCCGCAAGGTGAGACCCAAACCTTGGTCCCTCTCCCATGCTGAGCATCCCACATCCCATAGCACCACCAGCTCCCCAGCCCTGGATCCAGCTCTTGGGATGCAGGAGCTGGTAGTTACCTTACCTGGCCCTGCAGGACTACCAGCGCATGTTGGACCTCATGAGGGACATCATCTTGGCCACTGACCTGGCCCATCACTTGCGCATCTTCAAGGACCTCCAGAAGATGGCAGAAGGTGAAGCCCTTGGGATAAGGGGTTGTGGTGGGATCTCAGCCCACCAAGGCTGGGAGGTGGCACTGCAGGTCCCCATAGTCCTCATGTAGGGGGTGATGGGGGCTGTGGGGCTCCTTCCTGAGCCCCCCAACCCCTGCCCCACAGTGGGCTATGACCCCAAGAACAAGCAGCACCACAGCCTCTTGCTCTGCCTGCTCATGACCTCCTGCGACCTCTCCGACCAGACCAAGGGCTGGAAGACCACCAGGAAGATCGCGGTGAGTGTCCCACCATGGGGCTGACCCCCCGAGAGCCACCCCAGCACCTCCCCATAGCACCCACGTGTCCCCCAGGCACTGGGACCAGCCCGTCCCTCATCATGTCCCATGGAGGTGGTTCCTCCATGAAGGGACCCCATGATCATGCAGCAGCTCCCCATGCCAGGAGCATGTCCCTGCTCTGTGGGAGCCTCATGAAGGCATGGAGAGGGGTCTGGAGGGCAGATGGGGTGGGGGGGTCCCCCCAGTGAACCCCTCTGTGCTGACAGCCTGTGTCTTGCAGGAGCTGATCTACAAGGAGTTCTTCTCTCAGGGTGACCTGGTAGGTAGAACCAAGGCTTGGGCTTGGCCAAATCTCTTGGCAAGCACCAAAGGGGCTTGGGTGAGGTGGGAGGTGGAACAGGGAGGTCTTGCCCAGGGATGTTATGGATGCCCCATCCCTAGCAGTGTTCAAGGCCAGGTTGGACACAGGGGCTTGGAGCAACCTGCTCTAGTGGAAGGTGTCCCTGCCTTGTCCCCATCCCCATCCCATCTCCATTCCCATCCTTGTCTCCATCCCCATCCTTATCCTTCTCCCCATCCCCATCTCCATTCCCATCCCCATCTTCATCCCCAACCCCATCTCTGTCCCCATCCTTGTCCCCATCTCCATCTCTATCCTTGTCCCCATCCCCATCTCTATCCTTGTCCCCATCCCCATCCCCACCCCCACCAGGGCAGGGGGTTGGAGCTGGAAGAGCTTTAAGCTCCCTTCCAATCCAGCCCGTTCCATGATGGTACGACTGGAGAAGGGATGACCATTGGCACTGACCATCTCTGCAGGAGAAGGCCATGGGCAACCGCCCGCTGGAGATGATGGACCGGGAGAAAGCCTAC